ATGCATGAATTGTAAAGGTTGTATAAGATCTTATAATTGAATGTAAGTCCTTTATTTCTGTGTCACTGAGAATTTTTGTTAACTGTAGTTTTGACTACTGCTGTGAATAATGCTGCAATCAATGCTCCTCTCTATAAAACAAAGCCTGAGTCTCTGATATTTTGCTTTGGCTGAATTGCTAGAAATAGAATATTATGGGCCTATTGAGGCAATAATATATTGGAAAATCCACCCCCGACCCTTTCAGACAAGCCTCTTTTGAGTTCTTCATAACTTTTGTTCTAAGCTTGTTTTACAGGCTTGAGAAAAATACTGATAAGACACCTCCTTAGAACATCAGCTGGACTGTCTCTTCGAATGCAAACAAACTGTAACTTTTTAAGACAACACTCCCTCCCCATTAGCTCAACTTCAACACAATCCTCCTTCCTTCCCTGTCTCCTAGCAACAGCAACCACTGGCTCTTTAAACAGTGCAAGCTACTCTTTCTTCCCTGCCCTGTATTGACTAACAAAACACAGGCCCTTTTTTCCCTTAAAAAGTAAAATAAATTTCCTCTCTGCATCTCTCCTTTTAGTTGTGAATTCTTTCAAGCCCACATCATTGGCCAAACTCTAATATGCATTATGTTTTTTAAAAAATATTTGCTGATTTTATAAGCAAGAATATTTCACTATTGACTGTAGTAAAATGTTGACACTCAATAGATAATATTTATTGCAAGTCCCTATGGCACAGTTTTCTTGTTTCTATTTCTGCTCTTCCTGTTTGGATTAACAAGTTTGGAAAACATTAATATGAAGGTGAATGACATCACAGACTGTGGTATGTCTCCTGGGGTGGATGGTATTGATATTGACAACTGCATATTCTTGTTGCTATGTGATTTGATTGAGGGACTTATCTCAGACTTTTAGAAGATTGAATCAAATTACCAGTGACTCTTCTGCTAGGCTGGGGGAGAGGAGGGCAGTGAGAAGAGCCATATTTTGAAAGTAGTGTGCCAGACATGGACAACAGGGGGATGGGAGCATGAGTATGCAGGGCGGGGGATAGGGGAGGTTGGGTGTTAATGGGGGGGATGAGGACACATTTGTAATACCTTAACTAATAATAAAAAAAAGAAAAAAGAAAGTAGTGTGCCAGTATGCACACCAGTTCCAAGAGCTTGCACCAAGCTCTGGCACGGAATGTACGTGATAATCCTGTAATAACTATTGCTCTGAGAAAAAAGTCACATTCTTTGAGCCTAAGTAAAAATAAATGTAATCATTCCCAAGTCATTTCTGAAACTAATGGGAAATCAGTCAGTGCCCTAGAATTTGCCCAGCCTGGTAGAGAAAATGTTTTCAAAGGTCTCAAGGAGTTCATTGTACGGAGACACAAGAGAACAAAACTTCATATGTCAAATATGAGCTTCCACAAGTGACAATGTGTTAGCAAGCATGTGTGCTGTGGGGTTTAGAATGACTTGAACAGGAATTAGTGTTAGAAGGAGGATGTGAAGATTCTCTAAGGAATGAGTTTTAAAAACTGAAAAAGTCTCCAAATAGCCCAAGATTTGAATACTCGTTATGCAACTTATTAACTGAGAGACTTAAATAATTACTTAAAACCCTTAAATCCTTGGAACAGCATAAGTCAAAGTAATAATGGATTCTTCTACCAAATTTATTATCTTCCAGTTGCGTAGGTCAAAAGTCTGAAATGAGTCTTACTGAGCTAAAATTGAGGCATCAGCAGGACCACATTCCTTTCCAAAGGGTCTGGGAAAGAATAAAAACCATGTTTTCTCCTTTTACAGGCTTCCCATATTGCTTGGCTCATGATCTCCTTCTGTCATCTTCAAAGCCAACAACAGTGAATCAAGTTCTTCTCATGCTGTCATCTCCTAAGTTCTCTACTTTTGAGGATTCATTTGCTTAGTTAGACCCACCCAGATAATCCAGGATGATATCCCCATCTCAAGATCTTCCATTTGAGTCATATCTGCAAAGTTCCTTCTGCATGTAAAGGTAACATATTCACAGGTTCCAGGCATTAGGATGTGGACATCTTCATGAGTCATTATTTTAGCTACCATAAACATCTGATATAATAGATTAGACATAGAATGCATAATAAGATATTTTTTGTTGTTACTGTTTTTGTTGCATTATAAAGAATAAAATTTCAGGCCAAGACATTTTCCATGGTGAAACAGATTGGGTGGTGGGGAGAGGTAAGAATGGAAACCGAGAGAATGGGTAAGAAACTGCTAAAATTATCCAAGTGGGAGATACTTGTGATTTGAATAGGAAAAGCATTTTTGCAGGTGATGAAACGTGATTAAATTCTGGTTATTTTTCAAAGATATTGGAAGGATTTTCAGGTTTTTATGCAGAGTGCAGGAGGCAGAAATCAAGGATGACTCCAATACTTATATGCTCAAGAGTGGTCCAAAAATGGAGGGAATATCTGAGGCTCTAAAGGGGCCATAAGTCTACATCAATCTACGGGGACTATTTACTAAAGACTAAAGAGGGAAACAGTCACCTCACATCAGATGACGTTGCTGGCCAGATCCATCTACCGAAATTCTGTGATATAAGATGCTCAAAATTTGAACAGATGGGAAATATCTCAAATTATTATGATTAGTTTTCTTCTACCTAGTGGGCTGGGATTTTAAAATGGAAAATAGTTTGAATTATAAAAAAACTTTACTTCTGTACACTTAATTTGTGGACTGAGATTTTTACCTACTATATTCCTCAAGCACTTGGTTCATGCCTCAAAGACCACTTTATTATTGGTTATCAACACTGATAATCATTGGTTAACTTGTCTGTTTTCTACACTAAACTGGGAGACCCTGGGCAGTAAAAACTATGTGTATTCTTTTTTTAAAAATTCCTATTACTTAGTATTAGCATAATGTTTGCAATAAAGGACACCCTATGGAAATATTTACTAAACACTTGTATGGATAAATTAATTCTATCAAATCAGAAAATGTTTTTTTTAAATGTAATACATGGGAAGTTTTGGCAAGTGACATGGGCTTGAAAGACTTGATATCTAAGAGAAGAGATGCAGAGAAGAAATTCACTTTACTTTCTAAGGGGTAAAAAGGGCCTGTGTATTACTAGTCAATACAGGGCAGAGAAGAAAGAGTAGCTTGCACATTTTAACGAACCGGTGGTCACTGTTGCTAGGAGACAAGAAAGGAAGGAGGACTGTGTTAAAGTTAAGCTAATGGGGAGGAAGGTTGGGTTGTCTTAAAAAGTTACAGTTTGTTTGCATTCGAAGAGACAGTCCAGCAGATGTTCTAAGGAAGTGTCTTATCAGTATTTTTCTCAAGCCTGTAAAACAAGCTTAGAACAAAAGTTATGAAGAGCTCAAAAGAGGCTTGTCTGAAAGGGTGAGGGGAGGGAACAATCTACTAACTAGAGAGGCTCCTTGTTGTGAATTATCCCTGAGTTGTTAAAACAGCAGGGAGGAGGGGGGTGCAAGAATGCAACCTTGAGAGTATAGTCTTTTCTCCTCCCCCTGTTTGAATAGAGGGGCAGCTTGAATCAGCGGAGCCAGCAATCTTAGCATCTAACTACCAATAATAGTTATTATTCATAATTTGTGGAAGGCCACACTGAGGGAAAAAAAGAGGCCTTTTTTCTGTCCTTACAATGTACAGTGTTTCTGTGTTATGGTAGACTAAGCACTGTTTTATGATATTTGTATGAACTTTCTGGAGGTGGATTTTCCAATATATTATTGCCTCAACAGGCCCATAATATTCTATTTCTAGCAATTCATCCAAAGCAAAATATCAGAGACTCAGGCCATGTTTTACAGAGAGGAGCATTGATTGCAGCATTATTCACAGCAGTAGTCAAAACTACAGGTAACAAAAATTCTCAGTGACACAGAAATAAAGGATTTATATTCAGTTGTAAGATGTTACACAACCTTTACAATTCATGCATGTAGCAGCTGATATGGATGGTCATGCTGAAGCAGGAAACAGAAAAGTAGAATTCGGGGCTGAGAGTCTTACAAGGCAATAAATAGTGTAAAGAAATGATGCTAGTTGGGGGGTGGGGGTAAGAGATCAACTGAAGGACTTGTGTGCATGCATATAAGCATAACCAATGGACACAAGATACTGGGAAGAAGATATAGAGGGGATAAATGATGATAAAAGGAGACCTGACTCAAGGTGGTTAACACAAATACAATATACAGATGATGTATTAAAGAATTGTTCTAATATTTAAGCAATAAAACAAAATTTAAAAAAAGAATAAGTACCTGCAATATGCAGACAAAGGATTTGAGACAAATTGCTAAAAGTATCTTTTTATACAGTAAAATAACACACAACTAAGCATAATGTGATCCTGTTTTTGTAAAACAATTAATGTCCTTATAATTATATCTTTGAATAAATATAACATATGTATTATATGGTATTTATAATGAAAAGAAAGAAAAAACTGATGCTAAGAAGCACAGGTAGGTTAATGAAACATAACTGCTGTGAATAGCAATTGATGCTATGGAGTAAAGTCTGGTTTTCATTTACAAAGAGTGATGCCTTTTCACAATCGGGAATAAAATTTCATTTTTAAAAAGCCTCCCCCAAGTGGCTATTAATGGGTATGGGGTTTCTTGTTGAAGTGATGAAACTTTTTTAAAATTAGACTGTGATAATGGTTATTGCACAAGTCTGTAAATTTGCAGACCTATCGAATTGTACTTACAAAGGGGTGAATTCGGTGATATATGAATTATATCGAAAACTGTTTTTAAGCCCGTCCATAAAAGTGCACAAGGACAGAAAAAATTATATCAGCCTATGAAGCACATAGCCACAATAGTAATTGCATAATGGGACAGATATCAAAAGGCTATATGAGGAAAAAAAGTCTTCTGGGATCATCCAGACACTGGAGACTCAGTGAGTTACACCACCACCAGGAATTGGTCTCTCAGCTCTGTGACCGTCTGCAGCCAAGCTGGAACGAGTCTTTTCATAAGCTCGGATCTCCCCTGGAATCTAAAGCCTCCTCAGCCTCCTAAGTCAGCCTGAGAGAACTGGCTCTGTAAGTAAAAATTTTTTATTCAATAACAACGCTAAATTCTGGATTAGCTGAGATGTCTTATCCATAGGGGAGAATTTCCTCACATTGTTTAAAGTTAGATTAGACAGTGAGGTGCTGTACTGAGGTGGATGGTAGAATTATAGAATTAGGTATTATTAGGAAATCTGTATTTTGTTCTGCCCGGTGTAGTTTGATTAGCTGGTTGTTTGTTAGTTATATGATCTAATCATTGTGCTAATATATTTATGGTGGTTACTGGTTTGGTGCTTGAGAAACCAAAAAGGTTGCCAGGGGCTTAAAACCTTATTTCTAGCCCTGGCCGATTTGCTCAGTGGTTAGAGTGCCATAAGTTCAATTCCTGGTCAAGGGCACATACCTCTGTTGTGGGCTCAATCCCTGACCCCAGTCAGGGTGTGTGTGGGAAGAAACCAGTTGATGTATCTCTCTCACATTGATATCTCTCTCGCTCTTTCTCTCTCTCTCTCTCTCTCTCTCTCTCTCTCTTTCTCTCTCCCTCCCTCCTTTCTCCCTTCCATTCTTTCAAAAAATCAGTGGAAAATATCCTCAGGTGGGGATTTTTAAAAAGTTATTTCTAAGCTCAATATTTCTTAATAAAAATGAAAAAAATGCCAATTTGAACCTACTTTATGCCAGGCACTGCATTAGGTATATTCTACCTTATAGATGAGGAAACTGGATCAAAAAAATTTATATTACTTGCAGGTGACAATACTTCTTAAGAGCATGAGCTTTGGAATTCAGAAGAACTGGTTTTAGAATCCCAGCTCTGACATTCACTAGTTGTGTGGGACCCTGAATATGTTTCATAACCTCTTTGATGCTCAGATTCTTTATCAGAAAAGATAATTTAAAGTGAATTTAATAATACTTGCCTCATAGGAATTAAAAAGTAAGATTATAAAGTGATAAAGTGCTCAGCACAGTCACATAACATTAAGTACCCACTACCAACCATATTGCTATCCCTTAGTCTTCATATGTAGACCACCGGATGCCCTCATTTTTGACATTTCAAAAGTAGAATCAATAATAATTTAATTAATATTTGCATGTAGGGGATGAGGGGGGGGAAGAATGTGTGTATATGTTTGTGTGTGGGAGGGAGGTAATGCTAATTAGATGATTTGCTAGAATTTGATGTCATTTTGTAAAAAATAAAGCATAGAAGCGAGAGTGAAATTGGAATGGGGGAAGGAATACCCTGGGTTTGGCTCATATTGGGGTTGCGTTATCTAAGGGAATATGGTTAAAGATGTCCCTCAAGGCGAGATAAAATTTTACTCACTGGCACTAAGCAGAGAGCTTTGATTTGTTCTCCAAATTGATTCCAGTCATTTTTCTAAATTGTTGATGTGATCTCCTCACTCTAGTTCCAAAATTTGTTACTGCCTTCAAGTTTGAAACCTTGCCACAGCTTTAAAAATTCTATTAACTTTTGAAATATAGAACTCAGGAAAGACCACAATTAGACTTCAGACTTGCAAGTCATCTGGATATAAATACTATTTAATACCATGGGAATAACTAAGATATCCCAAAGAGAGTATAATATCTGGGACAGCAAGAAAAGAAGAGAGACTTCTAAAAAAGAAACAAACACAAAAAATCCCAGATAGTGTGGTTCAGTAGGTCATGTGAGCATCAACCCATGAACCAGGAGGTTGAGGTTTGATTCCCAGTCAGAGCACATGCCTGGGTTATAGGCTCAGTCCCCAGTAGGGAGCCTGCAAGAAGTAGCCAATGAATGATTCCCTCTCTTCATTGATGTTTCTATCTCTCTCTCCTTTTCCCTTCCTCTCTCTCTGAAATCAATAAAAACATTAAAAAGAAAAAAAAAGATTTCTAAGGAATACCACAATTAAAAGACAGAGTTCAAAAATGTTGTTTGGTAAATGGGAGTAGCAGGGGAGCCCACAGAATAACTATCTTGAAGGTAATGGAGCAGAGTTTCAAAGAGAAAGTGGGCAACATGGAAGAAATTTGAGAAGAGGGAGAGGGAAACAAATCTGAAAATAAATTTTTGGATTTGCTGTTTAGAAAGTCATTGATGGCATCAGTTGGAGAACTTTGTGTGAGTCATTGCAGAATATTTTCAGATTGTTACTGAAGGTGAAGCAGATTGTCCAAAGAACATTTTTTGTCATAAAATATATGGCAGGGAATGGGGAAAGAAACAGGGTTTGGCCCTGACCAGTTTGGCTCAGTGGATAGAGTGTCGGCCTGTGGACTGAAAGGTCCCGGGTTCGATTCCTGTCAAGGGCATGTACCTTGGTTGAGGGCACATCCCCAGTTGGGGGTGTACAGGAGGTGGCTGATCGATGTTTCTCATCGATGTTTCTAACTCTCTATCCCTCTCCCTTCCTCTCTGTAAAAAAATCAATAAAATATTTTAATAAAAAAGAAAGAAACAGAGTTTGTCTTACTGCCCTCACTAGCTAAGCACAATGGCCAATGATGACATATGGTCAATATATCTTGGGTGAATTGGGTGTGTGTTGAAAATATCTATAGAAAAGTGTGTGGGGGGAATAAAACTTGAGTATTGTAGAATGCCAAATGAGAGCCAATGTTGCAAAATAAGTTACTAAAGCAGAAAGGAATTTTGTTGGAGTTAAATCAGAAGAGAGGAGAATGACTTGTTTACTTATTCGTAAAATATTTAGAAATGCCTGGCTCTTGTTGCTCTGCAACTAAAATCTGAGTTCCTTATTCTTCCCTTGGAATGCAAGAGTTTCATGTCCTTGCCCCCACCGATTCCTTTGGCTTTGCATGTGAGGTTCCAGCATAGTGATTTTCTTGTATTTTGTTATTTCACTCAGCCCCTGCTCATGTCTTTATGTCAAAAACACTCATTCCTGTTTTTCATCCTTGTGAACTCACTTCTGCTCATCAGAACTTTACACAGTTATATTTTATCTACTCTGTTAAGATTTCTTGGAGCTGATCCTTCTTGAACACACACAGACATATTCTTACATACACACACTACCTGTCACCCCACACTATTTTGGTCTTATTGCTTAGAAGCATCTTATCCTTGTGCACTCTACAGGTAGCAGTAGAGTTACATATCCTCTGATGTAGTAGGTATTCAAAATTGGCACTTTTTTATTTCTTATGTTCTTAAGAATTACTGGGCTCTTATTAAAAACTAGGGGCCCGGTGCATGAAATTCGTGCATGGGGGTGGGGTTCCCTCTGCCAAGCCTGCACCCTCTCCAATCGGGGACCCCTTGGGGGATGTCTGACTGCCGGTTTAGGCCCGATTCCTGTGGGACTGCAATCTGGGACTGCTGTCTCCTAACCGCTCACCTGCCTACCTGCGTGATTGCCCCTAACCCCTCTGCCTGCCTGCCTGATCACCCCTAACTGTCGCGGCCTGCCTGCCTGATCGCCCCTAACTGCTCTCCCCTGCTGCCCTGATCTTGCCCCCAACTGCCTCTGCCTGTCTGATCACCCCTAACTGCCCTCCCCTGCTGGCTTGATCTCGCCCAGTCTCTGTCTCTCTTTGTTTTTCTCAGCAGTCCTCCAGGCCTCCCTGCCTCCCTGTCTCACACTTCCTCTTTCCTGGCTGTGAGGGGGAGGGGCCAGTAGGGGGCCACTCCACCCTCTGCCCACTCTCCCTTCCATCCAGGCCTCTTCAGGCCCAATCTGGTTTTTTTCCTCATTCTGAAAGCAAGCTGGGTGGGAGGGAAAGAAAGGGAGAAAAGACTGAGTTGGTGGGCACTGTGTGTGTCTGTGCATGTGTTCGGTTGTGAGTGAGTGTGAGTGCTGGCCCTGCCTCCTCCTACCCTGTCTCTGCTGCCACAAGTCCCCACCCACCAGAGCCTGCTGTGCGTGCAGCCTGGGCATTAGGTCAAACCTCCAGTCATTGTGGATGTGACAGACCCAGGGTTTTTTATATATTAGGATAAGGTTTTCAGTTTTAAAAAGATGAGGTTCTGCTCAGCTTATGTGCTCAGTGGTTGAGCATCAACTCATGAACCAAAAGATGAGGTACTGGCAAACTCTCTGGTTTTCTCAGACACCAAACCTGTTGTTTTACTTGCTTCATATGCTTAATGCTGACACAATACAGTGTGTGCTCTCAGTTTGATGTGGAAACGAACTAGTGTTTATGGATGATCAAGAGCTTGAGTGGAGTTACTGGCTATGAAATGGAATAAGGAATCCCCTGTGTTGGAGCCCAGCATGAATGAGGAGCAAGTGTAGGAAGATGTAGAAGGGTGGGGAAAAGGATTTGGATGAGCTCCCTTCTGCCAGACTCGGCACAGACCATTTCAACCTAAACTCTATGTGTTTTTTTTCTGATATCCAAGCCAGAAAAGGAAGAGAAGAAACTGATAAGAAGAATGCAGATGAGCAAGGAAGAAATTGTTTGAATTAATGAAATAATGTAAGGGGACTCATGAAGAAGTTAGGATGAATGAGAAATTTCAGATAGCAATTAATAATTTTTTTAAAAAAAACTGAGCCCTGACCGATTTGGCTTAGTGGATGGAGCATCGGCCTGCGGACTAGGGGGTCCCGGGTTCGATTCTGGTCAAGGGCATGTACCTTGATTGCAGGCACATCCCCTGTGGGGGGTATGCAGGAGGCAGCTGATTGATGTTTCTCTCTCATCGATGTGTCTAACTCTCTATCCTTCTCCCTTCCTCTCTGTAAAAAAAGAAATCAATAAAAATTTATTTTTTAAAACAACTGATCTCATAAAATTTCCTAGAACTCAGTGAGCAAAATTACAACTCAGTCATTGCATATTATCATAACCACACCAACCAGGGCCAAAATTTCCCAATTTTCAATCTAATATTTCTTTAGGGAATCCTTGAAGTGGCATTTTATTTGGGTAAACTTGTGTGTCTTGGAAACTCTTAGGTTCCCCTAAGAAGCAGTTACCATGATATTGGCTACTTCTCGCTGATCAGGCCCTCTCCAACCACAACCTTAAACTCTGCTCTCCCCAGACCTCCCCTTCCAAGTCATACAAACCCATATGCCTAATTTGAATTTTTTACTCAATGAAAAAAGAAACAAGATGTTTTCCATGTAGTTTTATCTTTTCCTCCAAAGCAAAACAGTAACATTGCACTAGGTATCTCTTGAAAAAGTATGTCTTAACAAAATGGAGAAAATCTGTCTGGAGAACAACTAGTCTTCAGGAAGATTGAAGAACCAAATATGTCTGAACATGGCAGCACAGATGTCAAGTGAGGGCAAAGGCCTCTGTCCCTTTGGTGGTAGGTCTGTGCTCTAACTCTCCATCCCTCACAAATGTGATGCCAGATGCTGCATTCTAAGGGTCGCTGCAAAGGTTAGATACTGTAGACACACTGCACTGGTGCCTAAGCTATTTATTATCATGTAATATGTGTTTCGTATATTATAAATATCTCTCATATTTTCTGGCTTCCCACATCGTCCTAAGATTCTCTGTTTTCTATACTAATGGCTGATGTAATACTACTGCTCTAAAGCCCCAATCTATTTTTCTCTTATGTCAACTATACAGGAAAACCAACCTGCTACCTCTTTATCACAATTTAAACATTCCAAAAAGAATGAAATATGATCTGCCAGTCTTGGGTAAAATGTCTTTATTTAGTCCAGACATCTCTGACTAGAGGAATGAAAGAAAAGGTCACATAGTATAAACATAGCTACAAGTAAAGGGCCCCAGGGAAGAAAAATTGTGGGCTAAGATAAATACAAAAAATAAAAAGTACAGAAATTTTAAATCTACTACAGCAGCTGAAAACTTACAATTCTTTTGTCAATTTAAATGAGCTATTTATATTTATGTAATATAGAGATATTCATCTTGGGTTTATTTGGGGTTCAATAAAATTATAGGTTTTCTTTTTAAATTGTAGTTTACATTAATTAATTAATTGTAGTTTAGATTAATTTTTTAAATTTAGTTTTGTCATTGTTCCAGAATTTCACCTTGGAATTCTGTGCTTATAATTCAGCATGTCCAACTTCCAGAATACCACATCCTCTTCCATCATTTTCCTGCTAACCGGTGTTCCTGGGCTGGAAGCCTTCCACATCTGGATCTCCATTCCCTTCTGCCTTCTCTATATAACTGCCCTCTCGGGAAACAGCCTGATTCTCTTTGCCATTGTCACTCAGCCCAGCCTCCACGAACCCATGTATTATTTCCTCTCCATGCTGTCCACTACTGACCTCGGCCTGTCCATATCCACCCTAGTCACCATGTTGGGTATATTCTGGTTCAATGCCAGGAAAATCAGCTTTAATGCCTGCTTGTCACAGATGTTCTTTATTAAACTCTTCACTGTCATGGAATCCTCAGTGCTGTTGGCCATGGCCTTTGATCGTTTTGTAGCCATCTCTCATCCTCTCAAGTATGCAACCATTTTAACTGACTCCAGAATAGCTCAAATTGGAGTAGCAATTGTCATCAGGGGGACACTTATGCTGACACCAATGGTAGCCCTTCTGAAAAGACTGTCGTACTGCCGCAGCCTCGTGCTACACCACTCCTATTGCTTCCACCCCGATGTGATGAAGCTCTCCTGCACAGACACCAAGATCAACAATGCGGTGGGGTTGACAGCCATGATCTCTACTGTCGGGGTGGACTCAATCCTCATCCTCCTTTCTTATGTTTTGATCATTAAGACTGTCCTCGGCATTGCATCCCCAGAAGAGAGAAAGAAAGCTTTCAGCACATGCATCTCCCATATTGGGGCTGTTGGTATTTTCTATATCCCATTGATCAGTCTATCCTTTGTTCACAGATTTGGAAAACAGGCCCCACCATATGTACATACTATGATCGCTAACACCTACCTGCTGATCCCACCTGTGATGAACCCCATCATTTACAGTGTGAAGACCAAACAGATACGTAGAGCTGTGATAAAAATTCTCCATTCTAAAGACATATAGATGCATAGAATTCTAGCCACTCTACATCGAGTCATGCTATTAAAAAGAGAACTAGTGCTCAGTAAAACTGAGCAAAAAATTACAGATTGGGTTATATGTAGAATATCAGCTAGCTTGACGCCTTTATTTTACAAATGTGGATACAGAGACATAAGAATGTGAGGGATGCCCCCCTGGCTTAGCTCAGTGGTTGATCATAGACTTATGAACTAGGTCACAGTTTGATTCTCTGTCAGGGCACATGCCTGAGGTGTGGGCTTGATCCCCAGTATGGGGCATGCAGGAGGCAGCCAATCCATGATTCTCTCTCATCGCTGATGTTTCAATCTCTATCTCCCTCTCCTTTCCTCTCTAACATCAATAAAAATATATTTTTTTAATTTTTTAAATGGAATGAAAGGAACAAACAGCCCTAAATCTAGAATTTCTTCTCCCCATCACCTTTCATTCTAAACTATTATTAATCCTTCCAACAATCCTTTTTACTTAATCAACTTCATAGCAGTTAGAATAACACATTAGGAAAAAATCACTCCTTTATGAGAATTAGAGAGTACTTCCTAACTGTAAAAATAATTTTAACTAACACTTATTTCCTTTGACCAGTCATAGCTCTAGGTGTGTTTTTTACATATAAAAACATTTTTATATCCAAACAACATTACAAGTAGTTACTTCCAATATCAATGAGAAAATACAAGTAAAAAATGTTAAATTGCATGCTTAAATAGCTGGTAAGTGACAAAATCATATTTTACATGAATGCAAACTGACTTCAGGTCCCTCACTCTTATCTTAATGCTGCCTGTACTGTAAGATATATATAACTAGAGGTCCAGTGCACAAAATTCATGCACTGGGGGGGGGGGGGGTTGTGCCGCGGGGGGGGGGGGGGCGTGGTACATCAGCCTAGCCTGCACCCTCTCGCAGTCCGGGACCCCTCGATCCTTACCACCCACCTGCTTGCTGCTCCTTACCACTTGGCTCATTGCTTCTTAGTGCTGCCACCAAGGCAGAAGAGGCTCCCACCAATACCACTGCGCTCACCAGCCATGAGCCTGGCTTCTGGCTGAGCAGCACTCCCCCTGTGGGAGCGCACTGACCACCAAGGGGCAGATCCTGCAATGAGTGGCTGCCCCCTGCTGGTCAGTGCGCACCATATCAATCAATTGTTCTGGTCATTCCATAACAGTCACTTAGGTTTTTATTATATAGACTAGTGGCTGGGTGCACAGATTCATGCACATTGAAAGGAAATCAGGAGACCACGCCTCCATGCTTGGAGAGTTTCCACGTCCCCTTGAGTCACAGGGAAGTTGAGTGGGGAGTCTATCCTCCTCCTCGCAGCTTTCTGAAAAAATATTTCCAAATGTCCCTTCTGTGGCCAGGGTTATGTCTTGCCTGCTGGGAGGTCCCCCATGGACACCTTGGGCCATGCTGGATGCTTTCCACAGCTCGAGCAGGATAAGAGACACTCCGAGGTGAACAATACAAAGTTGAGGGTTTTAGGCAGTGGGGGTGTTCTGTTGCCCACACCCCCACCCTTCAGATCCATCTCTCTTTGACTTTTACCCTGATTGTTAGTCACCATCTTGTGGCCTCTGTTATATTGCTGCCTTCTTCTGTAGCTTCAGGGCAATCAGTAAGGGATGAGATTTGATCTTGATGCCCAAGGCAGAGCTCCAGGAGCCCAGTGGCGATATCAGGCTCGTCCTGGTTACTCCGAGTGTTTGTGCTTCAACTGTTCTTTGGAGATTGTAACTGCAGGCTTATGGGGTACAAAGGATAAGAAGCAGGTGGCCGAGGAGGATCCCAAGCCAGGGCGCGACACTGCTCCCACTCACCTCGGCCCTCCTGCACCTGCCACCACCGCCGCCACCGACGCTGCTCCCACCTCTGCAGCTGTGCTCACCAGCCAAGAGCCTGGCTTCTGGCTGAGCAGCTCTTCTGCTATGGGAGTGCACTGACTACCAGGGGACAGCTCCTGCATTGAGCATCTGCCCCCTGGTGGTCAGTGTGCATCAGAGCGACTGGTCAACTGGTCATTCCAGTCATCTGGTTGTAACGGTCGCTTCCAGTGGTTCTCAACCTTCCTAATGCTGCAACCCTTTACTACAGTTCCTCATGTTGTGATGACCCCCAACCATAAAATTATTTTTGTTGCTACTTCATAACTGTAATTTTGCTACTGTTATGAATCGTAATATAAATATCTGATATGCAGGATGTATTTTCAGAGGTCGCAACCCACAGTGGAGAACTGCTGGCTTAGGCTTTTCCCCTTGGGGGATGTCGATCTGTTGACTTAGGCCCACTCCCCGGGGGATCAGGCCTAAGCTTGCAGTCAGACATCCTTCTGGCAGCCAGGGAGCCCTCAGGGGATGTCTGACTAAAGGCTTAGGCCCCCAAGGGAGCTGTGATAAGGAAGCTGGGGTGACAGAGGAGCCACCCGCCCGGCCGCCCCGTGTCAGGTCACACATGGGACACCCGGAGGGCAGGCCAATTGCTGCTGTCCTGCCCGGCTGCCCCAGGTCGGGTCGCACACGGGACACCCACCACCTCAGGTCACAGATAGCAGGCCCGGATGGCAGCAGGGCAGGCAGGATGGCACTGTCCAGCCCCACCACCCTGGAAGGCAAATAGCAGGCCCAGATGGCAATGGGGCAGGTGGGGTGGCGCTGACCCGCCCTGCCTGCAGTATGCAAATTAGCCACCATATTTGTTAGTGGTTAATTTGCATATTGTGCTGATTAGCTGATGGGAGGCGTAGCGAAGTTATGGTCAATTACCATGTTTGTCTATTATTAGATAGGATTATATATATATATATATAATTGGTGTATATATGTATATCTATTTACATATATGTATATCTGCTTACATAGATATATATATAGTTATATATGTATATAATTATGCAACTCTGTCCTCTAGAAATTTTCAACCACATTATGGAGGAAAAGCCCAAAACAAAATTTTTAAATCTCACAAATGTATTTCTGATGTTCTTTCCCAACTAAATATATTCTAGAATATGTTTCAAACCTCCATCAACTTTCTGCCCTACCAGAAACTAAAAAGTGACTATAGACTGCAAATGAATTATAATTTGTGTTATTTATTTAGAAACTAGAGGCCCAGTGCATGAATTCATGCACAGGTGGGGTTCAGCTGGCCTGGCCCCAATCAGCAGTGTGGGTGCGGTCTGGCCAGCCCCGCCCCTGAATGGGGCGAGGGAAGGGGCCATGGGAGGTTGGCCAGCCAGCCCCACCCCCAATTGGTATGGGGGAGCTGATTGGAAGCCAGCAGCCTGAGGGAGATGCCATGGGTGATTGGCCAGCTGACCCTGCTCCTGATCAGAGTGGGGGGCTGATTGGGGATGGAGCTGGCTGGGGGGAGAGGCCATGGGCCTATTGGGGTGGTGGGGACCATCGGGGTGGGGCCAGCCAGGGGGAGGGACTGCAGGCAGTTGGCCAGCTGGCTCTGCCCCTGATTGAGGTGGTGGGGACCCATCTGGGGTGGGGCTGGCCCGGGGGAGGGGGCAGGGGGTT